TGAAATAAATCCATGTTCACACATATATAAACTTGTGTGTGTGTGTGTATGTAACATACAAACACACACACATCGTTGCTTTTGTTCCTCTGAAGAACCCAGCCTAAGAAAAACGACAGCCTGGCCTTGTCAGCAAATGTCTGTTAGAAATGTCCTGACACCACGGTCTTCACCCAAAGAATCAAATGCACAGAAACAACCAGCCGTTGGTGTGGAAGCCAGTGAAGGCAGGGAGAGCACGTGTTGCAGGAGTGTGTAGAATACCTTAAGATGGGGTTTGGCAGCTGCTCACACAGGATTTTGCTGTGCAAGACCCCTTCTGCTTATGGACCAAGCTCACAAACACTAGGGAAAAAGAGCATCTGGACAGAAATGTTAACTGAGTTGGCTACTATTGGAAGGAGCTTTGGGGTTACCTGACAAATTCTTGACAGAATCAGTCTACTCCAAAATAGCATTTTCTTTGAGGCGGAAGACTATGTATGCATTGCGTGTGATACAGCAACATAATTCAAATACTAAACTTGAGAACCAGGTTTTTACCCAGTGGTATAAAATGTAAGTTATATAGTGGAAGCCACAAGGAAAGGGGAAAAGAGTAAGGGAAGAAATCTAGGGAGGCTATAGGAATATGGAGTATTACTAGCAAGTATTTGTATCAGTGAATGAATACATACACTCATGTTTTTATAGCAGCACCTTCAAGAAATCCCTCAGAAAGACTTCTGGATGAGACAGAGGAAAGAGGACAGACAAGTTATACAAAAGTCCTTTAAAATAATACAAATGGGGCCGTTTCCTATAGGAATGAAGGAGACAATGTGGTCTCTGACTTGGCTATAAAAACACTGAAAATCAGTAACCCAGGTTCCACAGTCCTAGGTTGCTAAATTACTGTCTAAAAATATGCAAAATGGATTGAATAATTGCTCATGTATAAAAAGAATGAGCAGCTGCTCTCAGAGCTACTGGGGGCGGGGGGGATAGGAGGAGGACCACAATGAATGCAAAATATGCAAGAAATTTGAGGTGGCTTATATAATGTAAACAATAAATTACTGGTTTGAACTATCTCTAGCTTTCACTTTTGAATCCACTTCAATCTACAAGTTACCCGAACATCTACTGAGCATGTAATTGTAAATCAAGTCTAAGTTGTGGGGCAAAATGCTGTGTGAAGCAGACATCCTTTTAAAGTATTCAGCTATCATGGCATGACTATGCACTATGGTTTCAAAGCTGTAGGAAGAGTTCAAGGTCGAATGAAACTAGGTTTAAGCATTGTTTACTACTATTTAGAAAACATTGCTCCCTTTTTAAAGGGTATGTAACATTCTGTTGTAAATCAACTCCTACTTACTGATCTACAGCACAAAATTACTTGTGCTACTTAGAAGACAATTCCCTAATAAAGTCAGTTAAGCTTTCTTGGTTAGGAATCTAGTTTCTCCACTGATACTGGCATAGGGGGCGCTACCTTTTGAGCATTAATCCCAAAAACTAAGAACTGGCTGATAGGTGCAGCGTAATCAGTCCCAACACACGGAGACTTCATGCCAGTGACGCGCAGAGCTGACCCACAGATCGCCCTTGGCAGTGACCTCTGCATCGCAGATGCCTGGTCTTTGTCCCACAGAGCCACTGGGCAGGTGTGACCCACCAACTTTGGGTTACCATCTGGGCACGTCACGGTTGAGACACCAGGGTTTCTTACTCTGTCAGTGAAATATTCTACTTTTGTTTTGAGAACAAGGCTTGAAAGTGCTTAAAGGAGTTTTGACTGTGAGTCTCCGTGGTTGAAGGTCAGTGGTTAAGGTCAGATAGTAAGCACAGAGGAAACAGTGAGTCTAGTAGTGCGTAACACTGGTGCCTCCCTCTGTTTTGTCACAGTGACTGCTCACTGACTTCAGGTGTCTATTTCGATCTCTGAAGAGTTGCTGACTGAATGCCATAAAACTGGTTTGGCAGAAAAAACCCACTGGATTTAAAGTCCACAGCCTACCACTGCTAGTCCTCCCAGATAAGTAATTTCAGTTCTCTAGCAAGTTTCTTCATCCGTAAAATGGGGATAAGAATTCTTTCCACAGAGGGGGGACAGCACAAGAATGAAGTGAAGACATGTACTTTAAAATCTGTTGATCACACAATTATGCAAAGGTTAAAAAATTCTTTCTTTACAGAAGTGGTGGTAAATATAAAAAATGGCTGCACAAAGCGCCTAGTTCATACATGCATAATAAAGCTTATTTCCCTCATGATCTGTAATGAAATGATTAATACACTCCACACACAGCCTCATCAAAAATACCCACCTCCATTTGGCCTGTAAGTAGAACTGCATCTAAGACTTCAGTTTTCATGTACTTGAGCCCGCCTTGATTCCATGATAAAGATCTGAATCATTAAAGTTTTGGATGGATCGTGATTTGAAGCAATCTTCTTGCACAGATAAAGCTCGTAATCAGCGGTTCTCACCCTTCCTAATGCCATGACCCTTTCATACAGTTCCTCGTATTGTGGTGATCCCCCAACCATAAAATTATTTTCGTTGCTACTTCATAACTGTCATTTTGCTACTGTTATGAATCAAGCGACCCCAGTGAAAGGGTCATTTGACCTCCAAAGGGGTCGCAACCCACTGGTTGAGAACTGCTGCGTTTAATGAATGTTTTCAGGGAACAAAACCCTTGTTATCTAAGTTCTAGTCAGAAAATGATTCCTATTTCGGAGCGGATCCGCAATGAAAGGAAACAAGGTGAACTTTCCCCGGGTGTGCTTTCTTTCATGAAACTGAAAGTGGTCGCTCAGCACCGGGATTCCAAGAGACCGCACATTCTTGTATTGGGGATTTGGTCTGTACACATTTAATGTTCTTGCCTCAGAATAGTAAACATGCAAAAACCTCTGAGAACTGAAAATAAAGTTGCAAGACTGGCATGATATTATCTGTGAATTAGCCTAGTTCTTATAAAAGAAACCAAGTAATCCTTAAAAATTTCCTGTAAAAGAAACCAAGTAATCCTTAAACTGGATTTAATCTGGGGCAAAGTAACAGAAAATGTAAACGTTACAATGTATAGATGTCATTTTAAAAAATCAGGAACTGGTTTCACAAGAGTGAAAAAAAACATTATATCTTCCATTAGAAAATGAGGACCTAATGCCGGGGGCATAAGTGAAGAGGAAATGTTTTGAGAATGATGAGGGCAATGAATGTACAAATGCGCTTTACACAATTGATGTATGTATGGATGTGATAACAGTTGTATGAGCCCCCAATAAAATGACTAAAAAAAAAAAAGCTAGAGCCCTGGTGCTGGAGGAACCACCTGGAGACCCACGCCAGCCCTGAGATGCTTCCACCACCACTGGATGCACAAGAATTTCCACCCACTGGCCTGTGATCTTCCTACATTTGGAGTCATTTCAAGGCTGTGTGAGTCTAAAGAGGAATTTATAGACTAGTATCGACATATGGAGTAACATCAAACTTACGGACTTGATCTGAACTGGGTTGGGCTGTTTGATTCATGTACAATTGTTCTGTGATATAGTTTTCTCTTACACACACACACAAAAAGAGTATTGTGAAAATAAGGTTCTAAACCTTGTAATTAGGCATCAGGTAATAAAACCCCAATAGAAAGTACCTTGGCGTGCCCAAAATGGAGGTCAGATGTCCTTTATCTACAAATAACTTTTATCACATTTATAAAAAGAGAAATAGTACGCTGGAGAGGCAGCACAATAAAATGGAAAGGACTCTGGACTGGGAGTCAGAGACCTGGTCTCTAAATCCACTAATTACATCTGTCACTGGAGTAAATTACTTTTTCTCATCTGTAAACAGAGGTAGAGCTAGACTACTTTTAAGGACAGTCCCCCATTAGATGTAAAATTCTTAGTTAGCAATTTCAATATTATTGTTCTTAAATCCTAGATATATAAAAGGAAGCCACCTCACATATAAGCCATCGCTATAAAAACTGATATGTTATCCTACAGTAGGTAAAACAGTAGGATTCGGATCATCTATATTTTGTGTCCATTATTTGGCTGCTTTACCAAGGTGCTTTTCCATCAGCATGAAAGTCACAATATTGTGGCCACTGGTATATATATGTCTATTCAGGAGTGCTGGTGGTAGACTGCTATGAGTTGAGCTGCTAATCACAAGGGCAGTAATTCCAAACTACCAGCCACTCCCAGGGAGAAAGACGAGGCTTTCTACTCCCATAAAAATGTAATGGCTTGGAAACCCACAGGGGCAGTTCTACCCTGTCCTGTAAGGTTGCTGTGAGTTGGATGGCACTGAGTAATTATATATGTATTTATTACTTATATACAATTATATACTTATATATATATAATTACTCTATATAAAACCAACCCACTGCCATCAAGTCAATTTGATATAGGCTTCAAATAGTGCTGAAATAGTCTGGTTGCAATGGAAGCACAAAGCCAGTAGCATCTGTCGTCACTTCTGCGATGGTGCTGCAGAGGATGGCGTCGGGTGAAGTGGGAGGACCACTGAGGATACGGAGAAGCTGCAACAGGCAGATGGGCTCCATTCCAGTGCGGCTGTCAGGACTGGTCCTGGCCTCAGTCAGACACCTCATTTTTTAACTGTCTTTTAAGATCACTATCTTTATAAATATGATCTTAGAGCATCTGTGGATGTTAATATCAGAAAATTATGCACTGCAACATCGTATTTACTACTTACTGCTAACGATGAAATGTATTAGAAACAGAAAATGACGTTATAAGTGCAGTTTCTTGTAACTCAGCTAAATCTGGAACGACCTATGTACAGCCTCTCACAGAAATGTACTTGGGAGTTAGCAAAAATGAGACACTGTCCATAAGTGAAGTCCTTCATCTTAATGTAGTCTAGACTTATAAAACAAAATTATTATGGGACTATTTTTATTTGGCAAAGTTTACTTGGCCTTTTCCTTCCATCAATAAAATCAATAAAAACACCAAGGAGAGAGGGCGATCTAGGAAACTTTTATCATACACACAGAGGCCATTAGAGAAATTTGGAATTTAGCAATGATTGAATCAGTCAACACTTTTTGTATAACAGGTGTAGGTGCATGGTTCTGAAAACAGTCTACAAAGTAATTTCATGTGATAACTCAATTTGTTTTAAAACCCAAAATAACACACTTTTATTTTTTGAAAAGATAAAACAATAAAAGGAAAGGTTGTATACATCTGAGCCTATGCTGGAAGTATTACCTCAAAAAACCATCTGTATACATCACTAGCGAGAGTCACATTTTGTACAGATTATGGAGGACCCATTTTTAAAAAGACACAAGACCTCGATGGTACATTTCTATGCTGGCAAATACATTTTCTGATGCAAAGGCACTTTGAAAACCCAATATGGTTTGGTTCATAAGTTTGCAAAGTACAAACAATTTTTACAAACATATGATTATACTGAAAAGCATCAACAATGGTGACTTGACATATAAAACAGATTTCCACATCTTTTTTTTTTTTTAAGTAACACTGGTTTTTGTGGGAACGAAAGCAGTGGTTTCAAGCAGCATCCGTGCAGACACTCCGGCAGCCCGGAGGGCCACAGTCTGAATTCCCACTGCCTGGGAAGAGCCACTGGCTGGGGGCTTGAGGGCGAGGGATGGAAACAAGCACAGCCAGCACCCTGGAACCAGATCAGAACCCTCGGACATCACACTGGTTTGAAGGGAAGACGACAAAGGACAAGACCAGAAAGTCCAGGAGATATCCTTTTAATTCTGCTCCCTCAGCTGTGAACTCCTTGCAGGTCACAGACGGCTGACTCTGTCTGGTCTACTTGCTGCTGGGGCTTGTAGTGATCGCTTTAAAAAATGTTTTCTGATTGTACAGTACCAGAAGAAAAATTGGTAAAAATAAAAGAAAAATTCCTTTGCACTCACTACATGGCTGCAAAGTCAATCTGTACATAAAGCTGTCTCACGCCGGCCTGAAAAGTTAAAAACAAATATATAAACAATAACAAAAAAATAAAAGGAAAAATCAAACAAGCCAGAAACAAACTACATAATTATGAAAAATCAAAAACTAGTTTCTGCCTTAGAGAAATCACCCTGTTATCTATCAGCTAGCATTTGAAAACCATGTGAGAACCCAGACTATTCAACCACCGCAGGGCCCATTCACCCACCCTAAAAGAAAGCCCCACACTAGTCAAATGCCCGGTGCCATGGATTTTGTACGTGCCCGAGGACTCCAGAAAGAAAATGTCTCGGAAAGGATGATGGCAACATATGTACATATGTGCTTGACACGATGGATGGATTGTGATAAGTGCTGTAAGAGCCCCCAATAAAATGATTAAAAAAAAAAAAAGCCTAACTCCACATTCTCTTTCAGCCAAACTTTTGGCTCTCACAATTTTCCCAAACCTCTGTCAGGGTCGTCCCCAAGTTAGGTACATCCATGCTCAGTTTTCAGCCTTCAGACTTGTACGAATTCTACGAACAGTAACATAGATGATCACTCCTGCCTACTGAAACCATTTCTGCCCTCTTGACGTCCACCGAATACTCATTTAATCATTCATTTACCTCACTTGCCTTTCTTTCACAATCTCCTTTGCTGGTTCTTCCTCATGTCTTGAACATCACACCCTGATGTACCTAAAGGCTCTGACCTTAGATTTTAAGGCTTAGAATATTAGATCTCATCTAGTATCCAGACTTGAAGTGCTGTCCCCACCTGCTCACACCTTCCAAATGCATTCTTTCCAGACTGGCGCTCTGTTTGGTGTCCAACACAGTCCAGCTGCACTCTGATCTTCTTCTCTCAGTTCCAGCAGGAATGTCGCTAAACCGAAAGACCTTTTACACCCACCATCCAGTCCCTCAGCAGTCTGACCACTGTTACTAACCGCACTCAAGGCAATGGCTTCTCTTCCCTGTATTTTGTCATGTCTTCCTCCCTGGTTTTACTGTTGCTGCCTTTGCTCACTGTTAGTATCAAAACTGCAACTAGAGAAGCCCCCAAAACAAAACAAAAACACTAACTGCTATCGAGTCAATTCCCACTCATAGACAGCGGAGGGCGCTCCTGGGGGTTTCTAAGGCTGCACGTCTCGCCTGGAGCAGAACGCCTCATCTTTCTTCTGTGGGTCGACGGCGGGTTTGCCTTCAGCTAGCAGCCCAGTGGGAAAGTCACACGCCACTGGGCTCCCTCAAGTTTGTATACGGGAACACAAAACCTCCTCTTGTACCTGCCGCTCGGTCTCATTTCTTACTCTGCGCACTCTGCTCCAGCTACACTACCCTTTCTGCAGGCACGCTTTTCCTGGAAATCGCCATGGGACATACTCCCTCTTGTCATATCGCCACTTAAAAGTCCAACCTGTCACCCCTCGAAAGTGTATTTACTAATTAATCCAACAAATACTCCTTGTCTATGCACCATATGCCGGATATATTCTGTGGCTAAAACAGGTCACATATTTGCATTTGAAGATACTATATTTACTGGGAACCGAGAGAAGGGTAATTGGTATATGAGACGATGTTGTTTTACACACACACACATGTATACACACATGTATACACACATATGCATACACACATGTACACACACATGTATACACACGTATGTATACACACATATGTACACACATATGTATACGCACATATGTACACACATACGTATACACACATATGTACACACACATACATGTACACATGCTTCAAAACGTTCATAGGAGATTGGAATGAAAAGACAATGGGGCTTTTCCATGAATGCACAATGGAGAAGAAAACAAACTTGTGCAACAGACGGACCACCTTTCAGTAGTCCTGACTACCTAGCACTTACTGCCTTCTGACATATAATAAAACATATATACCGTGTTTACTATTTATTATTGAGATACATTTATAACTGTCTTAGGATTTATCTTTTTCACATTGTTAATTCCCAGAACATCAAATAGAACCTAGCGTTCGTACGTACAGTAAGTATTCAAGAAAACATATGATCTGTCACAGTAAAGCCTTGTCAGTACCACAAAAGAAAGAAAAATACCAGTATTTCACAAGAAGAAGGAGAAAAATGAGAGTAGGGGACAAAATCTATCAACACTACACTATCTTATTAGTCATTTCTGGACTCGCGAAGGAAGCACTGCTTTCAACCCTATTTCCCTGAAAGTAAGACATCCCCCGAAAATAAGACCTACTTACAGCTTTGCCTCTCGCTGAAATATAAGGCATCCCCCCGAAAATAAGCCCCCCCCCCCCACCCCGAAGCTACTGTAACTCTGGACTCTGGACTGTAGCGGCAGCCACCGCCACACAGCTCACTGTTGGCCACAGTGCAGCCGGAGAAGACAGGAAGTGCGAGGTCTCTTTTAATAAAGCAATAAATGTGTACCATATTCTTCTTCATGGAAAAGTAAGACATCCTCTGAAAATAAGACCTAGCGCATCTTTGGGAGCAAACATTAATATAAGACACTGTCTTATTTTCGGGGAAACAGGGTAGCATGGCTTCTTTTCTAGCATCCGGGCAGGAGCGCTCTACCAAATACGAACAAAGTTAGGAGTTACACATGCAGTAACATGCTGGGTACATCCTAGAAAATGTTCTCTTTTCCTTGAAAACAACAAAACGGGCTTGACTTCTGTAATGAGTTACAGTCTCAGAAACCCACAGGGGCAGGTCTACCCTGTCCTATAGGGTCGCCGTGAGTTGGAATGACCAGACCGCGGGAATTTGGTTTTTGGTTATCATAAATTTAGCTCACCCACTGCCCCTATGAGCTTCCAAAACGGGAACTTTTTTTTCAACTGTAACTCTTGGCAGGAGTAGAAAGCCCTTTCTTCCTCCGGCAGAGCAGCTGGCGCTTTCCAAGCGCTGACTGCAGTTAGCTGCCCGCCTCTCGCGGCACCACTACACCGCCAGGGCTCCATTTTCATTGAAAGCTCCCTTTCATGCACATTTACAGAGAATAACACTGTAAAAAGTCCCATTTTTCTAGGGACTGAGAAGAGCTTCTAGCAGGAAAAAGAAAAATGATAGAATCTAAAAGTAAGATCGTGATCTACAAATTTAAACTAAGAAACAGGTTTAAATCCAGGTGGTTGGGCTTATGGATTTGGGGTAAAACCAGTCAAATCGCCTGCCCTTAGATGTCCTTTTGAACCTTGAGTCTTTAATGAAGGGAATGGTTTCCTAAATTCACCTTCAAGTCAAGCAAAAGCCTAGAAAGCAGCGTGGGAAGAAATCACTGTCTGTACCTGTGGCCTTCGTCTCTTGGAGAAATATCAACGGGCTGTGACCAGTTTGGAGAGGCAGTTCCTGGAGCCAAGGTTTGACTGGGAAATGGGTGGCATGGCTTTGTGACATTTTTCTCCAGTCAACTGACCTTGAACTCCACCAGGCTCTGGTGCTATCTCCTAAAGAAACAGCGTGGCAATGACCCACTGTAAGGCTTCCCTTGTCCCCTTGACAGAGTGCCTTCCAGATCACAACTGGTGGACACTTCCTGACTGGATCCGAGCAACTCATAATAAATATACCGTGTCACATAAATCTTTGGCGTTTCTCTGCACATTTAGTTGTTTGTTTGTTTTTAATAAAACCAAATCTCAGTTTTTCACAATTTAAAACAGGTTTGATTGATATCAAGCCTACTTGTGGTTAGGGGCTGTGGAATCCGTTCGGACTCACAGTCTAAGAGAACGAACCAAGGCCAGGTCCGGCACGTCCACACAGTTCATCACACTATCTGACAACTATTTCATAAACCTGGTTACTTGCAAGATACTGTTGTAGAAAGGATTGCAAATGATATAAAGGCCATCGTAAACAAATTACTATGACTGATGATATGTATCATATAATTTGATTTACTCAACCCAGATGGCCCATGAAATAACTAACTATTCAGCAAAAGTTCTGTATATCTAACTTAAGAGACAACTACTGTGGCCAAATATATTAAGATCTTAATTTCTTTTAACAAAATTGTTAAAGAAAATAAAATGAGCAACGTAAGTTGAATGTCCCTTGATTCTTTTTTGTTTCTTTCTTCTCAGCCATCTTCCAGACCCCAGCCCATTTACAGTGGAGATGGTAATAAGAAATGATGTTGCCCAAGGCAATTAAAAAAAAAGAAAAACAAAGAGACTAGGTAAATTGAACTTTGCATAATCATGAGTTAATTACTCAAGCTGATACTTTTCCCCTGAGGGACAATAGCTTTCCACAAAAGCTCAGCACAACAGCACAAAAAAAAAAAAGAGGCACTGAGCTTCATCTATCTATGGGGGCAGAATCAAGTTTCCCATTTTCCTCTTTCATTGTCCTTTCAAGTAAAAGTGCTGAATTTTCAAAGAATCCTTTGCTTAATGGTCTACTCTCTGAATGTAAGCTGTTTACTAGACACTCACAGGAGCCCTGCTGGTGTAGTGGGGCTGCTAATCTCATGGGCGGCAGTTCAAGACCACCAGGGGCTCCAGGAGAAAGACAAGGATTTCTACTCCCCAAGAATTACAGTCACAGAAACCTACGGGGCAGCTCTACCGCCTACAGGGTAGCTATGAGTTGGAATCAACTGGATGGCAGAGTGACTTTTCACTCAAACTACCAAAAGCAAACTAGAATCGCTGGCCTTGTGAATAGCAGCCAACGTGTATCCACTAAGCCAGCCGGGCTTCTGAGGACAGAGCAGTCCCTTGAAAAGGGCACCCGTCATGCTTGGTAAAGTGGAGAGGCAGCAAAACAGAGCAAGACCTTCGACAAGACGAACTGACACAGTGGCTGCCAGGATGGACTCACACCTAAAATCAATTGTGAGGAAGGCGCGGGACTGGGCAGTGTTTCGCCACGCTGTACACAGGGATGCTATTCGTCAGAGTAACGTGATGGCCCCTAACAACCACACAGCAAGATTGGAATTCTCGGAAACCCACGGGGCAGGTCTACTCAGTCCTATGGGAG